GTTCCACATGACAAGAGGATATTTCTATAACCGTCAAAATGTTTCTGGCGATTTATATTAAAATGTATTCATGGTGCTTGTATCTGTGGTGATGAATGTATAACAATGCAGCTTGCACTGAGATGTCCTTATCCAAAATACCCAGGTACAGATATCTTTTATGAGCAGGTGTATATGAGGTCATAGTTTGTCCCTGGAACAGTCAGAGTCAGAGCCAGAGATGGAGTGAGACCATATGTCTTTGTGTCAGCTGAGCAGGGTGGAGACACTGCTACCTGCTGTCAGTGTCACCTCTTTGACCACTGACCAACCAGCTGACTGGGATGGTTGGGAGGAGGCTGTCTGGCTCACACTGGCTGCCCTTACACTGTCTGGGCAGCAACAGTAGGCAGCTGGCTTGGGCTTCATGGGGGCGGTATGTGTGTTTTGCATGTGTGCATATGTATATATGGAAGGGTTTAAATGTGCATACAAAAAAAATTAATTAACACACACCTACAGAATTGGTAAATCAATACATAATTGTATATTTGCTCTATAGGGAGGTAAGTCTGTAAGTCTGTAAAAAAATACGAAAACACAATTGTTAAATGAATTAAAATGTACACATTATATTAGGGCCTTAAGTGCTAATGCAAGGGCATTAGTAAGTCCATAATGTCTTTGTGGGATTTCTTTGTTTCTGTTTGCCACAGAGCCAGGGGATGTGGCCTGTGGCAAACAGTTGCCATTTAGGGTCACTCACTCACTGATGCTAGGTGAACAGTGTGAGAGAACGCTGCGTCAGCCTGCACTCAGCGCCTACGCCCTACTGCAGATCTTTCACTATAAACAGACTTTCATTCACAGTATCTTCATATATATATATATATATATATATATATGATACCACTTAGCGGAGGAAGACACAGAGAATATTTGTAGTACTGCTGAGCTACAAAATTAGGCTGATATACATTGTACCAGAGTGATTTTATTTCTTCTTCTGCATATCTATTTGGTCATTTATGGTATTTACTTTTAAGCACAGATGGAAGGAAGCCAATATGATCCAGTACAGCAGACCACCATTTATTGTATTAAGTGCCAGACTGACCAGCATATCATAAACTGGTTTACTAACTGAAGTGTTACACTGGAGTGCATTGTTCTAAAGTGTTTAGGCGAGAGAATATACCACTATTCTTCTTCCTCCTCACATAAAATATACATTTTTATAGTAAAATGATGGCCTCCTCAATAGAATATCCCATATCATGCAATACTTTATTGTTGGCATTACAGCAGCAGTAGTTAATGTACTCTGGGAAACAGGGAGAACAAGGCAGGTCCAGCTATATACATCCAAAATGCTTGGATAAATTTAGTGTTGGGTCCTGTGCGTGCATGTGTACTTCAGGCTTATGTATAATAATAACAATGGAGAGAAAAAAAATGTATGTCCCCCAAGGGGGATTAATGAGGTAATTTGTCTTCTTCTCTGCAGAACTTTACAGTATTCTGCAATGTAACACAACTATTTATCATGAAACTGATTATTTTAATGCCTGTAATGGTCTATGTGAATCTAATGACAATTATTAAAGGGTGGTTAGTCTGAATTATTGTTCTGATTAGAAAAGTCCATTTGTAAAGCTATTTCATCCAGGCATAAAAATATTGAGATATTATTTATCAATATCGCTCAGCTCTACCATATACATTTTGCTACACTCAATTGGAAATGAGCCATGGTCTTAAATATACGGACGTCTGGATGGGTTCTGTACTTGTTCTTGTGGAAGTGTTCTCTGTCTCCCTGACGTTCAGGGGGTCCATCCGCTCAGCTAATGAAAATAGATTGATACAATTTACTTGACAGGTGTAACACCCACAGACACACAATTACATTATTCTCTGCAGTAATATCCAATTGTGTTACAGAATGTGGGCGCACAAAAAGGGAGGTCCAAAGTACAACAAGCGTGATCCGCACGCGTGTGTGTGTGTAAGGCCAGAGGATGAAGCAGAGAAATTGTTCCAAGCCCCCTGTGGCTTCTTCCAGTATGGTGAACTAAAGGCCTGGAGCTGCTGCAGAGGTTCTGTAGAGGCAGAGCTGTGGCCCAAACCACAAGAAGGAAGGACTGAATTGCTGTTGGAGATGAACTACAGACATACACTAGTTTCTACTCAGCAGGACTTCCTTGCACACCCGAAGGCATCTCATCGTGTCTTTGCCCGTACACATATCACTTGTTTTATTCACTTTCCAATCCTCCTTTCTGCTTCTCCCACCCTCATTCCCTGTGATGGGATGTTCCTCTCGAAGTGGCAATAAAGGGAAAACAGAAAATGCTTTTTTTTCTTCTTCCTTCCTTCCTCCAATCTTCCTTTCGGCCCCACCTCCTCTTCCTCCCTACCTTCCACTATTTTTCCATTTTCTTCCTTCCTTACATCAAGCTCTCTGTTCTTTCCATTTGTCTCCCTTCATCCCCCTTCTGTTTTCTCCATCTCTCCCTCCATTTTCTCTGTGGGCAGATACCTCTAGGGGTGACATCTGCTGACTATAGCTGCTCCAAACGCACACACACACACACACACACACACACACACACACTAGAGTACACACCTGGTGTAAGATCAAGCATAATTATGGCTCAGGGAGAATTTACAACACAAAGGATGAACTGATGGGATCAGTACTGCAACATACATCTAAATACAACCTTTGTGTGTTGGCGTCAGTTGAAAAAGGTTATCATTATGACTGTATATTATTATCATCATTGCATTAAAAGCATAGAAGCTTAAAGAGACTCTGGTTTCCTCCTCACTCTGCTCACCCTTCCCTCTCTTTGACAGTGATGACTGTCTCTCAAACACATAGTGACACAGAACACAACATGTGTTCACTTCATCCATCAGTGCAGATAAGTCCTCCTCTCTTTGCCTCCCCTCTCCTTCCTTTAGCACTCCTCCTTTCACTCCTCTCTTCAATCATTTTTTTTTTTGTTTTTTTGTTGCTGACAGGCAAACAAAAGAAGGCATGTCCACAGGGAGCATGCATCTGTGTGTTTCCGCGTGCGTCTTTTGTGTGCACATGTGTGTGGGGGCGGACATGCAGATAAGCCTGTAATATTTCTATTTTGGACTGAAGAAAAAAGTGGAAGCTAGTTCTCTGGTGGCAGAGGAAGGAGAGAAAAAAAGGAGTGGAGCATTCTGCCAAATGGTAGGATGCAACTGAAAAGCCTCATACAAGATGGTACGTAGGTGGTGGTGGTGGTGGTGGAGATATGGAGGTATGTGTGTGTTCATGTGAGTGTAACAGCAACTGCGAGTAAACATGTCCATGCACGTCATACATATTTGCTTGTGTGTGTACATTAATCGGATGGGAGAGAATGTGTGTGTTCATATCCATTACTCCCATCTCGTATGGCACTGCAAACAAAGTGACACCCGTTGGATCAACGGATGTCTTTCTTAGAAAGAACCCCCCTGCAGTGAGCCATGTGTTTAATGCCTTCCTGAAATAGACAGCCATTGTACTGAGAAAGCGGATCTACGGCATTGCAATGGAACCACTCAGAGAGGAGCTCTAATAAGTGATAAAAAACATAAAGGAGAACGGAGAGGGCCAGATTGACACGGCTCTTTCGGCTCTAAGTCAGCGTTGGTCATTTTTTTCAAACAATCTGCAAATAAATCTTGGCTCAGTTCACTAATCAGAAGGTTGGCAGTTCAATCCCCGGCTCCCTTGCTGCATGTCAAAGTGTCCTTGAGCAAGATACTGAACCCCAGATTTCTTGCTGTGCATCGGTGTACGAGTGTGTATAAATTAGTTTCCGTTTCCGTTCTGATGAGCAGTTGGCACCTTGCATGGCAGCCACTGCCATCAGTGTATGAATGTGTGCAGAGGGGTGAGTGTGGCATGTAGTGTACAGCGCATTACCATTTATAGGGTCCAATAAGTATGACAACAAAGTTAAAGACAAAGTCTTTCCTCTGAAAATTCCATATCTTCCTAACCCACAGTCCCAACCTATGTAAGTACACATACTGTACATGCTCTGGGGCCCCGCGCTTTCTCAGCTCTGCCACAAGTTCCTCCACTGCAGGTCTTCAAAATTCAAGTATCTTTTTATTAAATAATGTTTTATCAACTCTATCTTAACGTATAGTAAGCACATATTTGTGAAATTAGTGAGAAAAAGCGAATATGCTACCCAATAGGATGTTCTATTTTTAAGACTTTTAAAATATACAATCAAAGTTATGATTAAGGAATGAATGAGGGAGGTTTATTGTAAGAAATGTAAATGCGTTTAGTAGTTCAGCTAATAATAACCCAATAGCATTTTACCTGACTATACAATCTTACATTAATAGCTAAAACTACTAGGTCTGTCCCCGAATAGTCAACTTAACCGTTGCTGAGAAGAGTCTTGGTCGAGGCACTCTCGTTAGTCGGATAGTTGCAGAAAAACAAACACAACATCAAACTTTCAGGAGCTGCACCTTTTCACACTTACCAGTGCACTGCTGCACAAGCTAACTGTAGTAGCTGCTGCCACTACCTAGTTAGCTGTCTGTACAGGACTGGGAGCTCGAGGGCAGGGGGAGTTTAAACACTACTAGTGTAGGAGCAGGGGAATAATAACTAATTACTATGTACAGTCATTTGCATACAGTAAAAGTGACAGCAATTCCATATATCCATGCTTAGTTTTCTGATACATACTTCTTCTGAGCATGAAAAGAAAACTAGTGGAAAAGAGGACAGTCGAGTTGAGCAGTGTTGAACAAATCAGAAGAGAAAAGAAGTGTGACAAAGAACAAAGCGGTGTCCCAGAGCCTGACAGATCTGAGCAGAAGGTAAGTAGTGCAGAGTGGTGTAGAATGGAAAAGTAAAGACCAGGTAGAAGAGTGATAAATACGAAAATGGTTGAGCAGGAAACCAAGCTAATCCATTAGAGTGACTTCTAACACTGTCAGTACCGCCATGTGTGTGTATTATGTACCTCTTTTGAGCCTGACTTGGCCAGAAAGATGGCACTTTTTTTACAGCCGTCATCCAAACACACGGGGAGGAGGTGGTCCTGGTAGCCATCACCATCTGCCAGAAAGAGACACAGAGAATTAGATCGAGGAGCAACAATGCTGGATTGAAGCAGTAGGAAGCGTGATCCTTTGTTTTCTAAAACTGTGCTATTTTAATATTTTCACTCCATAAGAATGCCACGGATTTGTTCTGGAGTCGACTTTGAGCGCAGCACAGTTTCTGGCAACAAAGAAAATTGCTGCTGTTTTTTTGTTTTTTTTGTCCTATGTGTGAGCCGGATCACAGAAACACCTGCTTGTTTCCTACGAGCAAACACACATCCAAGCAGCACTTGTCTCTTTGATGCCTTTTAATAATATCAGTTGACTTGAACTATCATTTTCTCCACTGATTTCCATCGCTATTAATTATTATTATCATAATGCCATGCAGGCTTCGTCTAATGTACAAACGGGGTACAGAGCCTCCCATATCAAAAGAACAGCTCTTTAAAGCACAAACACTTCAGCACACCAGGTTCAGTTTTAGACAAACACCCACAGAACATACACGCACCACACACACACATAACATGACAAAACAATCCATCATTAAGTGATTCATATTGCACACATTTGCACTGCAGAGTAGGGCACACATCCATTACACTAGAAGCATAAAAGAAAATAGGTCCCTGTGAAAGCACATACTACGCATGAATAAAACAACTGGTCAAACTGATATGCCCCCGTAAACAATCAGACTTTTTCTCAAAATGCATTAAACAAATTAAGGATTAAAATCACAATGAATGGTTACTAGAGCAGTTAAAAGCATTTTTTATGCAAAATCACTATTTTCTGGGTTTCTCAGGCTTGTGTGACAGTAAACCTAATATCTTTTTACGTTTTTGACTGTTGGTTAGTCTTTTGTTACTTGCGAGCAGCAATCCATTCATCAAAAAAAAAAAAAAAGATGAATAAAAATGGCTAGATTAATCAATAATGAAACTGAAATTGTTTGCAGTTCTGATTGTTGCATGAAATATTTAATGCATCAGTGTATTAAAATGTTTCAATGTTTTAGTGTTTGTTTCACTAAAATGTGGACTTTGTTAATTAAACATCTTGCTAGACTTCCCCGGTTGTTATTTTCAATTTTATTAAATGGGATTGAGACATTTATTGAAAAGTTTGATATGAATAAGCAGGGAGATCTAATAACACGAAGCACTGCATTCCAGTTGAGGGTTCAGGTTCCAGGACCCTGTATGATGGATGCTCATTATCATGACTTACTGGGACATCTAAATTCAGTAAAGCAATCACTAATGTCGTTACTTACTAATGTGCTCTTCCAGATATGACAAGTCTGCGAGAAAGGTCTCTAAACGTGTAAAAACAAATTTAAACAATGAAGCCTCTGCCCAGCTCTTGAGATTTGGCTAGTTCATAAAGACACAGCACACACATTCTGCGTTCAGGGGTTGGCTCGTAAATTGACACTAGACATAAAGAGGTGACACTGCTTCCAGGATTCTCATCACACAGTTTGTCTGAATCCTTTTCAACAGGGCAAGTGCAACACTCCCAAACAGATGTTGTGCCATGTGGAAGGGGAAAACTGAATGACACTGATGATGAATGACAGTACAAAGCAGGGGAGGAGGAGAAACTGAATGTGGCTGTCAGAGGCAACTGAGCGAGAGGCAAAAAGGGGGAGAAAAAGTGAGACAGATAAAGAGATACACTGTAAAAGATAATAATCAGCAGTCCTTTAATGTACTATTAAATATTTAAAATCATGTATGAACTAGAAGAGTGCAGATCTTCATCAGGCCTGCTATTACCAAATGGCGTATAAACACGCTAATGTGTTCAGTCATTTTGTCTGTTTTCACAATGTGTTTTATTTTGCTTTTTTGAATGCCACTTAGTCAAGTGACGTAGCATAAAGAGCAACAATTCCATGTAGGGAGGAGGTCGAGCTGGATAGATGGCTCAAACACACGACTTTCCACTGTTTTAAAACTTGTTTTAACTTACGTAATGTATTTAACTCACATCGTTACCACCTCAATTTCCAGAGCCTGAAGTGATATCTTTAAACTGCTTTATTTTATTGTAATGTTGGCCAACAGTCAAAAATGGAAGTATTACATTTGCAGCGGTATGAAATGAATGAAAGCCAGCAAATACTTATACTTGGAAAGCTGTGACACTCCACCGCTTTTAAGTTTCCTCGCCAGAGGGACTACTACTTGGTTTGTGAAAACTGCGGTATAACTCAAGTCTGAGAAAATCACTTTTTTAACAGAAAAGCTGTGTTACAAAGTGGAGGTGTGGAGTTTGAAAGATGTAGGCAAGTGGGGTCTAACAAAAAGAAATACCGTAGGCCATCAAGTAGCATTATGGGAGATGTTTTTTAGGACCTTGGCCTGTGCAAGGACTAAAAGCAAAGATATCTTTACCTCTGGTAGATCTCTTTTTTTTTTGTCTCTAGCAATTTCCCAAACTTTATGGGTTTAGATATGGGCACCGCTTTCTAATTAGTTGCATTAGTGTGGGTGTGATGAAAACTGAAATACTGAATATGAGTGCACCATCTGTTTGTTGCATGTGTTTCTGCAGTGTAGAGACAAAGCTGTATAGATGGTGAGATACAGTAAGGAGAGAATCAAAGAAACAGGCAGACACAGAGACACAGAATGAGTGCTAATTCAGTCCTGCAGAGGATGACACTTGCCATTCTGTCTCCGATACTGTCAGTTGTGCCACACACACACACACACACACACACACACCCGCTCTGTCTCACCTGTCCTTTCCTCCAATGCTACATTCTTTCATCTGTCTCTCTTTTATTCCAGTTATGCTCTCCTTCACCTGTCTCCTATCTCACGCTTCTCCTCTCTCTTCCTCCTCTTTTAGCTCACTTGTGTCAGTCACTCTTTCTCCCTATTTCCATTTCTCACTTCTCATTCTTAATGCCTGTGTTTCTCCATCCATCTCTCCTCCTATTTTATTTACCGTGATTCTCTCCCTCCCTTCCCCTTTTCTCCTCTCTCCCTCCCACTGACAATGCATGGTGTGATGGAGATTGGCTGAAATACTAACAGAGGGAGGAAACCGCAGGTATGAGCGAGAGGGACTACAAGAGAATATGTAGCGACTATGTGCAGATATGCATTGTGACACATTGGCATTCATAGAGTACACACAGCGCCAATAACAATGCAAATCATAATATGCACACAGACGCACATGGTGGGATGCTGCCAGAAGCTTGTGTCTTATTACAAACTCTATGATCTGGTTGAGGTGTATGTGTGTTTTCTGCAATTGTGTGTGCTAAAGGTGTAACAGAGGGGGAGGAATGTGTGTGATATGATATAGGCCTTGTCCTTGCGGAGGACCAATGAGTCATAAAAACAAAAAAAGGTTGAAAAGAAAGAGAAAATACAAAAAAGCTTACATAAAACATTTCCAACTGTGTTTTTCACCACACATTTTATTATTTATGCCTCCATAGGGCCAAAGTAATTTCAAAAGAAGAGCTCCCCGTCTTTCAAATGGATTCACAATTTGTCACGAGCCTGAATGGAGACCATAATAATCTTAAAATAAAATATCTCTCTAACTAGGAACCCACCTACACAAGATTTAAAGCAAATGTTTCAATAAAATGAGGGTTTTAAAGCACATTACTTGCCACCATGTGTGTCACAGCCACTGCTGCAGCTCCAAATGAACGTGTTGGTGAGCAAGTCAAATCATTGAACCAAACCATTATAACTAACTTCATGTTGCTTTTAGTGCACCTGTTACTTTCACCTCATGCAGTACCTTTGCCTCACGTCTCTTTCACTACGCGCCCCCTTCAACTCCCCTGTGGCCCATGGGGAGGTGGGCCTCACACTCTCTGGTATATTGTCATGGTGGGTGCAAACACAAAATAGAAGTTGTGGATTTCCCTTTCAATATATATATATATAACACTTTTAACATGTGCAAGACGATAACATTTTAAAATGAATTCAAAAATAAAGTGCTAATTAGTGTGTAGATCACTGTGGGTGGGTCTTTATAATTGAGAGTACTACTCATGCATAATTACTGCACAGCAGATATTGGAATAAGAAAGAGGGAGACGCAGGTTTTACCTTCAATGAAGGACACTTTTGTGTTAGATGCACTTTGCAATTTGCATCACATTGCATATTAAAATGTGCAAATTAATATCTGAACTTGGAAACCGTAAACCCAGGAGACTATAATTTGCATATGGATTGGAATATTTCTGAATGTGAGGGATATCACAAAATGGTGCTTGATTAAGAGTTTTATTTTTCCCATTGCCACATTTTTACTTCATTAATATGGTCTGTAGGGATGTCTTTCACATAAACACAGACGAATGCTGTTATGTTATAACTTGCCGAGCAGCACTCCAGTTTACAGGTACACCCATTTCTGCAGGAGTCTGAGACTGAAAGTGATGGAGAATGTGAGGCTGAAAAAAGCAAAGCGAGTGAGAAAGCACTGGCTGAAAACATGACAAGAGAACCAGTAAAAGAGAAAAAGAAAAATACAAAGGAAAATGAAGGGAAAAAATAGTGTGAGAGGTATGCAGTAGTTGAGGAGAGAATGAGGCAGACAGAAAAGAGGGAGAGGAGAAGAGGCTGTATGTAACACAATATAATAAGATGAGTGGAGAAGGAACGCCTGAGGGGAGAGCAGAGAGAAATAGGCTGTCCTGTTAACATGCTGACTTACCTGCACTCACGCACACACGCCCTCTCACACAGACATACACACACAGCATGATGACAGCCTTTGCGATTTTAAATATCACTTCCAAACACATTCCTATCTCGCTGTCTGCAAAATCTCCATATCTTCGTGAGCTGCTGGTCGCACAGCAGCCTCCCTCCATCCTACCTGCAGTGAAGCTAGCTGACACACTTGGCTGTGGGACTTCGTTGTGCTTTACCTAATGATGAATTATGCATCGGCCGCTGTCACTTTGAAAAATGCAATTACCTCAGTGATAAGGCAGATGGGCCTGTTTTGTCT